ATATGCCTTGTTAACAACTGTTTTAAAGATTGTCACAGTTAGGTAAAAATGACCTTTGACAGCTATAGGTTAAAACTTTTAACTAAGAGTAACAAAAAATCCTTGGAGCCAGGAATTTTCATTTTTCTTATCTCTGCTGTCCAGTGAGTCTACCAAATTTACCTGGAAAAAAATAATTAAACCACTGCAGAAGTAAAGAACCATGACTCTTCCAAAACATAAACACGTACGGTTCTAGGGCAACTCGGATTTAGTTTATGTAAATCATGCCAAATATTTATTTCTAATGGTTTACTGCAAATAACTCAAATATTATTGCAAATTGAGCTTCGTGAATTAAAGGAGAACTGTGCGTAGCCGGTTTTTGATTAGCAACTAATCTTTGCTGCGAACACTCCGGTCCTTTTGTAACACACAAACATCATGACATAAAACACACTTGGAACACACTATGGCTTAGGTTGTTAATACATACACTGATCAGCCACAACATTAAAACCACTGACAGGTGATGTGAATATCATTGATTATATAATTATGCAATACAATATATATATATATATATATACATATATATATATCTATCGTTACACAATTGCTTTTTATTTCTATTTAAGTTTGTATGAATTGGCCCCAGCAGCACCCTTATAATGTATGCGTGTTCAGGTCAGTGCAGCCCTTTTGGTTTCATATATTTGGGAGTCCAGATCATCTCTCTGGCTTTGCACCAGTCCCTGTCACAGGTGCCTCATTCCAGGGTCCTATTCAACCTTGCCCTACAAAGAGACCAAGGAGGAAGCATTATGTAAGTGGATTAATCTCATAAGAGCAGGTATTAGGTTAAGCTCTGGAACCAATGCCAGTTCAGCCAGTGCGGCTCCACTGGGTCCAGCATACTGAGAGAGCCCATCAGGGCTCTTAGGGCCACCTGGTGTAATGTGTCCTAAGGGGCCCAGTAATCTCAGCAGCACTGGGGGGGAATTGACAGCCAGTGCCTCTTCCTCTCAGCTAACTCAGAACCGCTCGGGAAGAAGGCAGAGTGGAGGAGCATAGAGTGCGAGAGTCTATGACTCTCAACAGGGTGAGTAAGCTGACTGGACCCCAGGGAAGCCAATATGCTGCACTCTAAAGGTAGGAAACAGGAGGGTGGCAAAAAAGTTTACATATTATTATTTATAAAGTTACATGCTAGAGGGAGTGGGATATAGTGACACAAAAGGTAAATGTAGGGTAGAAAAGTGGGGCTTAGTGTCTTGTTTTGATGACAGTTGCAGGAGTGGAATCAGGGGAGGAAAAGATGTTGACAGTTTAATTGATATGCTTTCCTGAAAAAGTAAGTTTTCAAAGATTTTTTGAAGAAGTGGAGATTTGGTGATAGTCTAACAGAGAGGGGAAGAGCGTTCCATGGGAATGGTGCAGCCCTAGAGAAGTCTTTAAGGCAAGAATCAGGTAGGAGTATGAACAGAGGTTAGACGTAGGTCTCCGGCAGAGCGTAGGGGCCTAGACGGGACATTTGTGTATTAGTGAGGATAAGTAGGTGGGAGCAGCATTGTGTAGTAAGCAAGTAGCAGGATCTTAAATTGAGCCCTATATCTTACAGGAAGCCTATGTAGGGACTGACAGAGAGATGGGGCGTGTGAGGTGTGGGCGGATAGGAAGAGGAGCCTCGCCGCCTCATTCATTATCGACTGTAACCTTAGCATTGCAGTTACATATTAGAATCAGTTGACTTATTGTAACATTTAGATGTTGCATGCAGACAATAATCAGTATAATATGCTGTTACATTGTTGCCGCACTATCCCCCTACCATACCTTTTTTCTCTTTTGAAAGTAAGAGGACAGCGCGCTATGTTTTTGAGATGGAAGCGGTAGGAGATTTGGCGATAGATTGGACATGAAGGTTGAAGGAGAGATTGTCTGTTTGTGTGTGGCTGTGTGTCAGTGTGTTTCTGTGTGTCTGTGTATCTATCTGTGTGTGTGTCTGTGTACCTATCTGTGTGTTTCTGTATCTGCATGTGTGTCTGTATGTGTGTCTGTGTATCTATCTGTTTGTGTGTGTATCTGTGTGTCTGTCTGTTTGTATGTGTATCCTCCTTAGACCTAGCCTATTATTTTGTGTCCTCTGTACTGGACCTTTTGTTCAAATGCAATTCCTTTTATTCTTTTGAGCTACTCTATCAATCTCTACTGTATTCAGTGGTGTATTTTAGTTTTGCGCTGCCCTAGGCATGACTAAACCTGGGCACCCCCATAATTCAAATTTGCCCCACCCTGTCCGGTCAAGGCCACACCTCTTCCTCTTTAAACTACACCTTTTCCTACTACTTTTAAAGGGAAACTATAGTGCCCCCCTCGGAACTGAAGGGGTTAAAACCCATTTGATCACTTACCTGAATCCAGTGCCGATGTCCTTCGGTGCTGGGTCAAGCTCCTTCTCTTCACTTGCATTAGGCTTCCCCATAGGAAAGCATTGTATCAATTCTTTCATTTGGGGATTTAGCAGACGCCTGATGTCCTCATGCACCGCGTGAGGACATCCAGCATCAGTTAGGCGACTTTTGGTCACCTAACCACCCTGAAGTCCCTCTAGTGACTGTCTGGTAGACAGTCACTAGAGGTGGAGTTAACCCCTCAAGGTGATTATTGCAGTTTCTGAGAAATTGAAATAATTACACTTGCAGGGTTAAAGAGATTGGGATACTACACCCAGACCACTTGACTGAGCTGAAGTGGTCTGGGATCCTATAGTGTCCCTTTAAGCACAGACTCTGACACACACACAGTGACAGACACACAGACGTCACTGACAGTCAGACACACTGATTTGACACACATTTATTGACAGAAACATGTTGGCAGATACACACTTACAGTCACACACATACACTTAATGACAAACACAGACTCACTGATTTGACACACACACATTCACTGACACACTCATTCATTCATTTACAGACACACACGCACAATGACAGACACACACTGACACTGATTGTCAGACACACTGAGTCACACAATCAGACACTCTCACTGATTTGACACACACACACAAATACACATACATTAACAGACACACGCATGCACTAACAGACACTCACAGACATACATACACACTCACAGACACACACACACACACACACAGACATATACACTCACAGACACACTCTAAGACATACACACACACACTCATAGACACATACACACATTCAGACACACACACACATTTACACTCACAGACACATACATACACTCACAGACATACACACACACACACACACACACACACTCACAGACACATATTCACAAACACACAGACACATACACACACTCACAGACACACACATACACTCACAGACATACACACACACACACACTCACTCACAGATACATACACACACTCACAGACACACACATACACTCACAGACACACACACACACACACTCACAACTTAATGTAATTAAACATTTTCCACCCAGCCTCCCTACCTGAAGAGCTGGTGTGGATCCGTCCCTGGGGTTCAGGGGGTCTGCTGTGAGGCGGGCATCTTCCCATCCGAGGCGGTGAGGGAGCTGTGATCTCTATGCTCTCTTCCCTCACGGGCTGTCTACTGATGCTGGCATATTCTGGCTCCCTCGCTGCCTCAGATGGGAAGCTGCCCGCCGAAGGGAGGGAGGGGGGTCTCTATTAGCTAGCCAGCAGGTCAGCTCTTGCCCCCCCATGACAGGGGAATCACACGGGACGCCTCAGTGAGCGTTTAAGGGCGGAATCTTTTGCCACCCCCTAAATGTGCCACCCAAGGCAACTGCCTAGTTTGCCTTGGGCTAAATACACCCCTGTCTGTATTGTAAAGAGGACATCCTGGACTTTCCAATGATATGTCATGATATGCTGGGAACTTCCTCTTCCTTTTCATCAAAAATTTATGGCATATTGAACGACAATATTTGTCCTCGGTTCCCAGGAGATATCTGTGTGTCTGTGTATCTCTTTGTCTGTATGTGTATCTGTGTGTGTGTATTTGTATCTGTGTAGCTGCATGTGTGTCTGTATTTGTGTCTGTGTATCTGCATTTGTATCAGTGTGTGCCCATGTGTATCTGCGTGTGTCGGTGTTTGTATCTGTATGAGTGTCATTCTGTGTATCCGAATGTGTGTCATTCTGTATATATGTGTATCTGTCTGTCTATGCGGTCCTATGTAACTGACACAGTTTGTATGGCTGCACTCTATTCGATAGCTGTGCTGATAACTCCTTCAATAAAATCTGTTTACATGAACTCAAGCTTTGATGCAGGTGTCTCCATCAATGCATGCATTATATTGTGCCAGCAGTCAATGTATTTTACAACTATGTGGTTTTAATATGTTTAAATTAACACTCCAAACACCCACCATAACCACCACAGCATGCTGCATTCAGTCACTACATTCAACAGAGAGCTGGAAGCCCCTGCATAAGAATTTCCATTAGCTATCCTGAGCTAGTATAACCAGTGCAGGGCTAGCTCATTGGCTGAGAGAGTCAGCTGATCACTCTAAGCCAATCAGCTAAGCCATACACTGCCAGGCTTAGCACAGATAGAGAACTTCCATCCTCTCTTTCAGCTGTAGTGGTGGTGAGGAACAGTGACCAGCAGACCCTGGATGGTTCTAAATCCGTTCTTAGATTTTGTTGACGCCAGGCACCAAAACCACTACAGCAGGATGGTGTATGAAGTCTGCCTTTAAATATGTAGTAGAACAGCTCTGAAGTTGTGTTGCAATAAAAACATAAGAGAAGAAAATAATTTTAATATTTTTTATTTATTTATAATGAAGAAAAAAAACCTTTTTATACCAAAAGGAAAAAAACATCATGAACAGGTTTATTCACTAAACTCTAAATTGCAACAAATCTGATTGGAAAATGTAGCAAAAATAATTATTGTCATAATTTGTCATATCGCAGTCATAATTTGTCTGTTTTTGACTAAATTGGACTATTCACAGGGTTATTTACTAAAGTCTCAATGGCCCTCTACAAAATGGGACAAAACTATATGACTGTGTTTATTCTGACGGCAAAATAAGGACATTCTTCACAAGATTTAACTCTGAATGACACAGAAGTTTGTCTGGATTTCAGCCACACAGCATAAATGCATAAAATCTGGACCATGGACACTTAAAACCCAGGCCCATATTTTAAATGTCTGAACTGTTTGCCCGCTGGCAGCGCTAGTAGCCTTTGAGCACGACACCGCAGCCCAGCCCCGACATCACTGCCTCAAGAGACCCTACAGGCAATTGCTGACTGCACCCCTCCTTCTACAAATTAAACTGAATGAGCAGCACAACACTAGAGATACAAAAAAAATTTCATTAATTGGGTATAATATCCTAAGTATCCCAAAATACATACAAAAAAACCTCAGCAATAATGTCAAAACAATGGTACTTGGAGAATACAAAATATACCATAATCACATGTGTACATGAAAAACAACTAGAGAAGCCAATAATGTTATTCCCAATTCAGGATCATATCAATACTTAGAAAAAATAAACCAACAAATAATACATACCATCAAAGGAAAAAATACCAGAAATAGTGAGAAGAGGGAGAAAATTTTTTAAAAGCCCCCAACGTTTCAGCAGAATTGCCTTTTTCAAGGGAGCCTGATGTGAAAAGAAAAGAAACTCTTTATATACCCACAAGTAAACCAAATATCACATGAAAAACACCTGAGTTAAATGGGAGGCCACCCACAATGATTGAGATCCTCCCAACTATACTCACTTGCCTATGGTCACCAAGGAAACCAATAAACAGGAAGTGTGTATACATTGATATTATATATGTATATACTATATGTGAACAAGACAGGGATAGAAAAGTTCCAAAACATAAGTGTTTATATAACTTTGTTGTTTGCTAATACAGTCTTATGTCATTGTAATAGTGTGCCTACCTTTTACACTTAAAACCCAGGCCCATAGTTTAAATGTCTGAACTGTTTGCCCGCTGGCAGCGCTAGTAGCCTGCGAGCATAGAGTTAAAAAAATAAATAAAAAATTGACTTGCCATTGTCCATTCTCCTAAATTAGGTAAATAATTATTTACTGGTTTTGGATTAATTGTGCCTACCCTCACTATTATTGGGTGAGGAGGCAAGTAGGAATTTCGATATTGAGGGGATGGCTAGGGTTGTGGGGAAAATAAGACAACCGGGGTTAATGCAGGGCATTGCACCCTCATTTGTGGGGGTGAACAATGTCATGTTTACACCTTATTTTGTTTAGACACTCCACCCAAAGCCCATGATTTATTTAATAGCCCTCACCTGCCACGAATGGTTGGGGGAGGCGGCAAAATCATCAAAATCAATAATATCTATTTAACAGGCTTGGAATCCCTAGTCATCTGGGATTGGGTGATGGCACCCAATTGGGGAGTTGGGCAATGTCCACCACCTGAGGTTGAAAGGCTCTCCCAATAATTAACAGGATGTAACCTTGTTATCCCTTAGGCAAACAATGCATTGGAATTTGCATGTTGGCGAATAAAAAAACAAGGATATTGGAACATCAAAATAAAATAAGAAACAAATATTAAATATGTTGTTCATTTACATTGTAACCAGTGCACTAATTTTAATTTAAAAAATAAATAGCAAATGTTTAGGTATATAACAAGTTCAGGCACAATGGAGATAAGGAAACAGAAAAATTTAGATCAAAGGAAAAAGTTTGGATAAATAAATTAAAGGACCAATAAAGTCACCCAGGCCACTAAATGTCAATGAAGTTGCCTTGGTGCAGAGGTTCTGACAATTTAACCCTGCAAAGTAAAACATTGCCATTTTGCAGAAAAAGCAATGTTTACCTTGAACAGTTAAACACAGCTCCATTGGTTATTACACTGACAGCCACTGAAGGCATTTCCATTGCCCTGACGCAGAAGTCTGCACATGAAAAGGGGAAGCTTGGATGCACGTGTGACACTAATTGTGCATGTGCATCATGTCCCTAATGTTCCTCTATGAGGAGCATTGGATTTGACCACAGCAGAGGAGGCCAGTGCAAGGTGAGTAAAAATCTTTATTTCATAATTTTTATGGGACATGAGAGGGGAGGGCCTGTATAATTGGGATCAGGCACGCTAAAGCTTTAAGAATACAGGTTTGCAACCAAATGCTTTAGTGTTCCTTAAAAAATCCTTCGGCCACGGAACTGAATATTGTAATTGATCTCTGGTATTTTGATTAAAGCACTTCCTGTGTCTAATTTTTTTAATCAACAGCCATTCCTCTGAGATGTATTCATCAATATATTTTTCAATATATGATTATTCATTTTTAGATTTTTAATTTTTTTTTATATAATTCAATAAATCATTTTCAATTTCCAATTTTTGTTATTCTCGTACTTTTTTAAAGTTTTTTTTGTTTTTATATTGCTTATTTCTATTTCTTTTTTAAATTTTTATATTTATTTATATTTCCTTTTTTATATTAATTCAATATTTTTTTTATTTATTACTTTTCACTTTCTTCTATTTTTCACATTTTTCTTATTCTCATATATTGTAACATTTTTATTCTTGTCATTTATTTTTATTTTATTTCATTTTTTTATTTTTTTCATTCAGCAATCTTTTTTATATTAGTTTATTTTTATTTCATTTTTTATTGTTTTATTTTTATAGGTATTTATATTTTCGTTTATATATGTTTTTCCACATTTTTCTTTTTTGTTATTCTCATTCATTGAAATTTTTGATCTTGTTCATTTTTTATTTTATGTATATTTTCTTTCATTCTTTTTTTTTTCTGTTTTAGAAATTGCCCCACAAATGGGTCTTGGCAATATATTTATGAATACATACTTACAGAGGATGAGTATATATTTCAGTGTCGATTATATATAGCAATTTATTAATTACATTTCCTATTTCCCATTTCTAGGTGCTTAAAATTTATTTGCAAGGGACTAGTATCTAATCTGCGTGATATCGACCACATTGTACTGTCCCCGATGACACATCCGCTGGATTTAGCTGTGTGACATCTTACTGAACTTGTAGATTCCTTTTTTAGACCCCGGAAACGAAAACCCGATCCCGCAACCTAAGGCCTACTTCGTGGGTGGAAAGGCGCAAGAGAATCTTGGGTGACTCTGGCCATGGAGTGCCTCTGGAACAGAGTACCTGCTATCCGATTTCTACACTGCAGGTAAGATGTGGTGCAGATCGCAAAAAACGCTCCCACAGATCCCAAAGACCCGATGCGATATCAGACAAATGCTGCAATTGCCAACACCAGCACACGCCCTGGTTCCAAGGGAGTCCTCATCGAACGACACCGTAGCCCAAACCTGCAATCACTGCCTACAGGCAATTGCTGACTGCACCCCTCCTTCTACAAATTAAACTGAATGAGCAGCACAACACTAGAGATACAAAAAAAATGTTATTAATTGGGTATAATATCCTAAGTATCCCAAAATACATACAAAAAAACTTCAGCAATAATGTCAAAACAATGGTTCATGAAGTATACAAAATATACCATAATCACATGTGTACATGAAAAACAACTAGAGAAGCCAATAATGTTATTCCCAATTCAGGATCATATGAATACTTAGAAAAAATAACCCAACAAATAATACATATCATCAAAGGAAAAATACCAGAAATAGTGAGAAGAGGGAGAAAAGTTTAAAAAGCCCCCAATGTTTTACCAGAATTGCCTTTTTCAAGGGAGCCTGATGTGAAAAGAAAAGAAACTCTTTATATACCCACAAGTAAACCAAATATCACATGAAAAACACCTGAGTTAAATGGGCGGCCACCCACAATGATTGAGATCCTCCCGACTATACTCACTTGCCTATGGTCACCAAGGAAACCAATACACAGGAAGTGTGTATACATTGATATTATATATGTATATACTATATGTGAACAAGACAGGGATAGAAAAGTTCCAAAACATAAGTGTTTATATAACTTTGTTGTTTGCTAATACAGTCTTATGTCATTGTAATAGTGTGCCTTCCTTTTACACTTAAAACCCAGGCCCATAGTTTAAATGTCTGAACTGTTTGCCCGCTGGCAGCGCTAGTAGCCTTTGAGCATAGAGTTAAAAAAATAAATAAAAAATTGACTTGCCATTGTCCATTCTCCTAAATTAGGTAAATAATTATTTACTGGTTTTGGATTAATTGTGCCTACCCTCACTATTATTGGGTGAGGAGGCAAGTAGGAATTTCGATATTGAGGGGATGGCTAGGGTTGTGGGGACAATAAGACAACCGGGGTTAATGCAGGGCATTGCACCCTCATTTGTGGGGGTGAACAATGTCATGTTTACACCTTATTTTGTTTAGACACTCCACCCAAAGCCCATGATTTATTTAATAGCCCTCACCTGCCACAAATGGTTGGGGAAGGCGGCAAAGTCATCAAAGTCAATAATATCTATTTAACAGGCTTGGAATCCCTAGTCATCTGGGATTGGGTGATGGCACCCAATTGAGGAGTTGGGCAATGTACACCACCTGAGGTTGAAAGGCTCTCCCAATAATTAACAGGATGTAACCTTGTTATCCCTTAGGCAAACAATGCATTGGAATTTGCATGTTGGCGAATAAAAAAACAAGGATATTGGAACATCAAAATAAAATAAGAAATAAATATTAAAAATGTTGTTTATTTACATTGTAACCAGTGCACTAATTTTAATTTACAAAATATATAGCAATTGTTTAGGTATATAACAAGTTGAGGCACAGTGTAGATGAGGAAACAGAAAAAATTAGATCAAAGGAAAAAGTTTGGATAAATAAATTAAAGGACCAATAAAGTCACCCAGGCCACTAAATGTCAACGAGGTTGCCTTAGTGCAGAGGTTCTGACAATTTAACCCTGCAAAGTAAAACATTGGCATTTTGCAGAAAAAGCAATGTTTACCTTGAACAGTTAAACACAGCTCCATTGGTTATTACACTGACAGCCACTGAAGGCATTTTCATTGCACTAACGCAGAAGTCTGCACATGAAAAGGGGACGTTTGGATGCATGTGTGACACTCATTGTGCATGTGCAGCATGTCCCTAATGTTCCTCTACGAGGAGCATTGGATTTGACCACAGCAGAGGAGGCCAGTGCATGGTGAGTAAAAATCTTTATTTCATTATTTTTATGGGGCATGAGAGGGGAGGGCCTATATAGTTGGGATCAGGCACGCTAAAGCTTTAAGAATACAGTTTTGCATCCAAATGCTTTAGTGTTCCTTAAAAAAATCCTTCAGCCACAGAACTGAATATTGACATTGATCTCTGGTATTTTGATTAAAGCACTTCCTGTGTCTAATTTTTTTAATCAACTGTCATTCCTCTGAGATGTATTCATCAATATTTTTCAATATATGATTATTCTTTTTTAGATTTATTTTCTATTTTTTATATAATTCAATAAATCTTTTTTAATTTCCATTTTTTGTTATTCTCATACTTCTTTAGTTTTTTTTGTTTTTATATTGCTTATTTTTATTTCTTTTTTACATTTTTATATTTATTTATATTTTCTTTTTTATATTCATTCAGTATATTTTTTATTTATTACTTTTCACTTTCTTCCATTTTTCACATTTTTCTTATTCTCGTTTTTTCTTTTTTTTCTTTTTCTTTTTTCTTTTTTTTAATTCTTGTAATTTTTTATTTTCATGTTTATTTTCTTTCATTGTTCTAAAATTTTTTCATTCAGCAATCTTTTTTATATTAGTTTATTTTATTTCATTTTTTTATTGTTTTATTTTTATAGTTATTTAAATTTTCATTTCTATATGTTTTTTCACATTTTTCTTTTTTGTTATTCTCATATATTGAAATTTTTGTTCTTGTTCATTTTTTATTTTATGTATATTTTCTTTCTTTCATTCTTTTTTTTCTGTTTTAAAAATTGCCCTACAAATGGGTCTTGGCAATATATTTATGAATACATACTTACAGGGGAATGATGAGTATATATTTCAGTGTTGATTATATATAGCAATTTATTAATTACATTTCCTTTTTCCCATTTCTAGGTGCTTAAAATGTATTTGCATGGGACTAGCTCCTAATCTGCGTGATATCGACCACATCGTACTGTCCCCGATGACACATCCGCTGGATTTAGCTGTGTGACATCTTACTGAACTTGTAGATACCTTTTTTTAGACCCCGGGAACGAAAACCCGATCCCGCAACCTAAGGCCTACTTCATGGGTGGAAAGACGCAATAGAATCTTGGGTGACTCTGGCCATGGAGTGCCTCTGGACCAGAGTACCTGCTATCTGATTTCTACACTGCAGGTAAGATGTGGCGCAGATTGCAAAAAAACGCCCCCACACAGTCCAAAGACCCGACATGATATCAGACAAATGCTGCAATCGCCAACACCAGCACACGCATTGGCTCCAAAGGAGTCCCCATCGGACGACACCGCAGCCCAGCCCCGACATCACTGCCTCAAGAGACCCTACAGGCAATTGCTGACTGCACCCCTCCTTCTACAAATTAAACTGAATGAGGAGCACAACACTAGAGATAAAGAAAAACGTTATTAATTGTGTCTAATATCATAGGTATCCCAAAATACATACAAAAAAACCTCAGCAACAATATCAAAGCAATGGTTCATGAAGTATACAAAATATACCATAATCACATGTGTACATGAAAAACAACTAGAGAAGCCAATAATGTTATTCCCAATTCAGGATCATATGAATACTTAGAAAAATAACCCAACAAATAATACATATCATCAAAGGAAAAAATACCAGAAATAGTGAGAAGAGGGAGAAAATTTTTTAAAAGCCCCCAACGTTTCAGCAGAATTGCCTTTTTCAAGGGAGCCTGATGTGAAAAGAAAAGAAACTCTTTATATACCCACAAGTAAACCAAATATCACATGAAAAACACCTGAGTTAAATGGGAGGCCACCCACAATGATTGAGATCCTCCCGACTATACTCACTTGCCTATGGTCACCAAGGAAACCAATACACAGGAAGTGTGTATACATTGATATTATATATGTATATACTATATGTGAACAAGACAGGGATAGAAAAGTTCCAAAACATAAGTGTTTATATAACTTTGTTGTTTGCTAATACAGTCTTATGTCATTGTAATAGTGTGCCTACGTTTTCTTAATTATATTGCACCCCTCCTTCTAGAGAGGACATTCAAATCCTGCTTACGGGCTGCCAACAAAACCTCAAACGCATGTGGGAAGCGGACCTAGTAGTGCTCACAACTGAGGTGAAGGCATGCACTCAAGCTACAGAGAAGGATATCACAGACTTGAAACAAAGTCTCACTGTTCTGGGCAAAACTATGCAACGGCTGCAGTCATCACACATTACCATCTCCCATCAGGTTTCTCCTACCCCTACTTGATGACAGGGGTAGAAGACAGAACATTAAGATCAGGGGGGTTCATGAGACAGTGCCTCTTGAAGAACTACCACACTTCAACAGACGCCTGGTATCTGCAGCCCTGCCAATGAAACAGGCCAAGTTGTTTTTCAGGCCAAGTTGTTTTCATTTAATGGAGTCTACAGAATTGCTAAATTTCCTCAGGCCACTAGTGCCGTACCATGTGATCTTGTTTTACCAAACAATGTCTGACAAGTTGGACTTATTGCTGCATTGCACGGGAAGACTCCCGATGGTCTTGAGTCATGCCAACTCTCTTTTTTCTAGGACGTAAGCAGATCCACATTGCTTTTGTGTAAAAATATGCAAGCCATCACCAAATGCCTTCAAGCTGCAGGAAACCTACTGGTGGCTGACTCCCAAAACTCTTTGGGTCAGCAAGAATGGGGAAAACTACAAGGCTTTGGATCCCTTAGAAGGTCCAGCATTGATGGTGGCACTGGGTCTCACCAACCAAATCACAATCTCCTCGAGACTGACTTACCACCCCAAATCTCAGAGTTACACAACCATTGTCTTAAGTGTGTTGTTATACCTTGCTTTAGTTCCGTTATTTTTCCATAAGTTTGTTTCTTTCTACTTTTTATGGCATGTTGAGACTACCCCATTCAGTGTCCATAAGACACTTGCAAAGCCTTACAAGGCTGTACTTCTACCTTTCATGTGCTACACTCTCCCCTCCTCCCCTCCCCATTTCCCCATGGTATAGGGGTACTGCTAGCAGTGGAGTTCTAAATTTTTATCACACATTAAGCCGATCTCTGTCCAATTGCTACACTAGTCGAATTCGGCAATGCAACTGTGCTCCATCTTCTATCTCCTTAGACATTACCTAACATTACTTCACATAGCCATTCTGCCTAGTGATCAAAACTAATCCATTCA